AGTAGAAGTTGGAAACTCAACGCAGAGCTTCACCTGCTTGCTCAGGTGAACCACTCCTGAGGTACGGGCTCCCACAAGTGTCCTGCCGGCCCCATAAGACCTCAAGGGCGCTATGGAAATGAGCACCATTCGCACCTGAGAACTATCTCCTGTTTCCCAGTCAAGCCTCCAGACATTGCTCGCTGGTCATCCAAATGCCTGCAGAAGCGACTATGGGCCACTTTTCGCACTTGGGATAAAACACACGAAGCAGAAAAGCGCCAGAGATACTGGGTCCGTTCCTGGAACTGTGCAACCACCGCCACCATCCACAGAGGCACAGAACATTTTGTCACCCCAAGAGAAAATCCCCTGCCATGGGTCACTTCTACAATGTCACAGCAGCAAAGCATTGTGTCAGGGCACAGCTAATAGTCCCTTTCCCTCAAATGGTTTTACCACAAAGCGAACACACACACACACACACAAAACCACCAAACCTCGCTGGAGAAGAGAATCCCAAGGGACTCAAAGATGCAACAGGAAGCAGCCTTCTATACCTTTCACCCCACCGGGTTAAGACACCTGCTCTGAAGGGGCTGCCTGGGGTTCGAGGCCTGGACTGAAAGCCAGCCTGCCTTCATACCACTACACTATCACCTAATAGTTTGGAACAGTTGCATCAAGAAGCAAGAAGCAAGGGAAGCCAAAGTCGATGGGGAATTCTTTGGCATTTCCTCCTTCCCCACTGCGCCCCTGGCTCTGAGCTTGCCTGGAGGTCCCCTAAGGTTTAGAGGCCTACCCGGCGCTACAGCCAGGCAAGAAAGCTGCACCCCCTGGAGCCAGGCCTTCACCTGGCCCCCTCCCGTCCTCCTTGGCTGGCCCAGCTCTGCCTCAGGGACAGGATGCAGCAGGCAGTGGCTCATCTAGTCTGGCCGGCAGAGCAGCCCAAATTTGTTCCAGAGACTTTAAATGCTGTCACCCTGCATTTAACCCCTGCCTTACTGCCTCATTCTTTCCAGGACAAAAGGGGTTTTATCAGTGAGCCCTGCTCCAGGGGCGGGTGCATGACCCCGGGCGCTGCAGAACAGGCCAGCAAACAGCCTGGCTGCGCCCAGGACTGGTCGTCAGCAGGGTGTGGGTGTGCACCAGGTGAGCCGCCCTAGCCTTGAGTCATTAGGCTGGCTGCTGTAGAGGGAGCTGCAGGCAGACTGTGTCCCTGGAGTTCCAGACTGTCATTCCTCATAGTGGCCTGGGGAGAAGGGGGCGGGCGGGCGGGCAAGGAGCTCACTCAAGGTCACGTGTGTCTGTCTGACTCTCAGAGGCCAGCAGGGCTGAGCTCCATCCAGAGCCCCTCACCTCCACCGCACAATGGCCTTAGAGACCTCCAGCAAACCAGTAAAGCAGACCCGCAGAACACTTGCAAACAAGGCACCCAGGGCCAGACTCATGATCACAATCCAAGCCAGACAATAAATAATTGTTCACATGCAGCTGAAGAACTTTCCTTCAAACAGGATGGAACAATCTTTCCTAAGCCACTTGGTGTGAGCCCAAGTCAACGGAGGACCAAGCCAGGGCTGCATTTTCAGATCATATAGGCATTTCTGACGGCTCTCCGCTGGGCTAAGTCAGAGGCCAAGTGGGGATCAAAGAGCAGGAGGGAAAAGCATTCCTGGGTGGAGGCTGAATCAAGAGCGCTCCCATCCCCCAGACGCAGGCACTGGGAGCCAGGAGGTAAGCTAAGACCTTAGCAAAGGTGGAGGCTCGGAGGCCCTCCACCTGGCCCTGATGCCGATGCGAGAGCGTGCCGGTCTCCTCTGTCCCCACCTCCCTCCTTCAAGTCCAGGGAGCCCCTCCTTTGAAGCTGAAAGAGCTACGAATGGTGGCTGGCCTCCAATCCCTGCCCGAACCGGCAGCTCCACACAGGAATACAGCCCGGAGAAGGCTGCAGCATGGCTCTGCACTGAGCAATCGAGAACTCAAGTGCCTTCCAGGCCTCCAAACCAGCTCGGTGGACAGATGTGATAGCCGCCCCAACACACACACACACACACACTCTCTCTCTCTCCAAGTAGAGGCTGCAAAGGTGACACCTTCATCCACAGGCTTCCCACCATCCAGCTGGACCCAGGAATCTCCCAATCAAGTCAGACCTCTCCAAGCTGGTGCTCCCCGAGCCATGACACGTGGGGTAGCAAGGGCTGCACACCTTTCAAAAGACAGAAGGCCCCAGAGGGGTGCGCTCAGACTGCCAAATCCCATTTGGGAACCAATCCACAAACACTACCCCCCCAGGCCTGTATTGCCCACAGAGAGGCTGCCCCACGGGTCGCTGGTCCCATGGCAGAGGGCCCCAGCCCTGCCCGGAGCAGGCATCTGCGCCTGTGCATGGCTCTGTCTGTCCGTGCGTCTCCAGCGCACACACTCACGCACACACATAGGCTTGCACCGAGCCATCCATCTGTCTCGGAGAGCCGGCTGTCAGAAATGAAAGTACAATCTCCTGGAACCAAGTCACTGCCTTCTAAAAATGTCCCCGTTTTCCCAGACCGAGGAAACTTGCAAGGGTGGGGTGTGTTTCGCTGCGAGTCCCCAAGGACCAGCCCTGCGGTTCCGCTCCCCTAGAACCAAGCTGGAATTCCAACCTGCAGCCAGCGCTGCTCGCCTGCTCCCCTTCCCCAGGGCGGGCGCGCAGGGGCGCAGGAAAGGGAAGGGCCAGCACCCCTGCATCTCAGGAGGGCCTTTGAGCACTCCCCACCCCCACCTCCGAGGCACCACATTTTCACATTCGCCTGTTTTTTCTTTCCCTTCTTCCCTTGCCAAGAGAATCAAGCCCTGGCTCCCGCTGCCGACCTTCCTCCCACCCTAAACTGAGCCCCATTCATTAAGCCCGCTCTCAGCCAGGGCAGGACAGGAAGGAAAACAGCACACAGGGCCTGTGAAAGAGACTCAGAGAGGTGACTGCAAGCGGGAGGAGGGAGAAAGCCCAGGCGGGCGCCCGGCTCAGGCTCACTCCCCCCCTTTCCCTAAGGGCCCCTAAGGGCAGCCAGCCACCCAGCCCTGCGGGCTTCCTCCCCAGCAAGGCAGACACACCCAGGCCACCCCCGGGGGCCGTCACCTTCTCCAGAAAAGGAGGGGGTGGAGCTTTCTCCATTTACAAAACCGGCTGGACCCCGACCAATAAAATCACCTTCTGGGGGCATTCTCGCAAGAGGAGAGCCCCTGCTTTGTTCTGTGCCCATCCGCTCCCCAGCAAACACCCCCACACCACAGCCATCCACCCAAAAACCAGTCTCCACGAGGCAACCCCCCAACCCCCACTCCCGGCATGCTGTGGCACAGGATTAATTCACCACCCTAACTACCCAGGGAAAGAAGAAAGAGCTCCAACTTTGAAGCCTTGGAAATTAGTAAATCAAGAGCTAAAACTCAAAACAAATGCTCTTTCATGTGGAGTGCCCCTCCTTCTCTCTCTCTCTGCAGATCCGTGGGGTCCTGAGACACACACACACACACACACACACACACACACTGCTGCCCTCCCTGTTCCTGTGAGTGGCTGCGGGAGCCTTGCGGGAGGGGAGGCGTGGCCAGGGCGTAGCTGCCGACCCCTTTTCCCCCAGTTTCTTTCTAGGACTAGGAGAGCTTTGGGGAGCAGAGGAGGAGGCGCAGGGCTCGGGTTCGGCCGCGCGGGAGGCTGTCTGGCTCTCTGGTTCAGGGCTGGGTGAGAGGCGCACAGGCTAGTGGCGGAGCCCGAGCCTGGTGTCGTCATTTCCTCCAGAGGAGACAGACAAGATGTTATCAATAAGACAAACCTTCTGAAAAGCCCCTTTCAAACGCTACCACTTCCCTTGCTTATTTCATGTGGTTTGGAGGGGCCAGGGCTCCTCCCTGCACATCCAGGGCTTAAAAAATAAAACCATCGGACAACATCCTGAGGGTGTTGCTCTGCCCCGACCCCTTCCTCTCTCTCCTCCCTGGCCTCCGCTCCTTCCAGAACCCGCGCAGCCTTAGAAAGCAGAAGACTCGGCCGCAGACTGCGTCGCTGGCTTCCCCTCCCCACGCCTCTGTGGTCCCGGACAACCCTCAAGCCTGAGCCCCCACCCCCTCTGGGGCGGGGGGATCCAGGGTCCCTCTTTGCCCTGCTCATTAGCAGCTTTGGGTAAACAATGCCCTCTGTCTTGGTACCTGGCAGAGTATATACTGCAAGAAATCAAAACAAACACAGGTCTCCTCGCAGACACCCTCAGCAAACTAGAGCTAGACCCCTCCAGAGGACTGCCTGGCAGGGAGAGCCTCCAGACAGCGCTGCCAACGCCACAGACAGGGTGCACCTGACAAGACACCACCACACTACAGTCTGCACAGCTTCCGGCTGAGCTGCTGCACCGCCATCTACACCGATGTCCCCAAGGCAAGAAGCACCACGCGCTCAGCACCACGCGTCACTTGCCTTGCTTCAGCCACTTCCTACAGCAACCTGCGGATGGCATGGCAGGCTGGGGAAGGGGACGACTTGAGCCCAAAACCCACATGCCTCCCACTTATGCCACCACTGAGTTCCTCCAAGGGTCACCTCTTCTGTCCTTGGGGACAATGACCGGCGGGCTCCCCAGCACCAGCACCTGCTGTCTGTGTGCCCCCGCCCAGCTGCGGCTGTGCCCACGCTTGGCGGCACCTAGCAGGACTTGCAGGAAAATTTCAAAGCTCTGCTCTGATTCCATGCCACACTTACACTCTGCCTTCAGCAAGTTGCCTGAAGATGGGCCCGCCTCCTTCAGGGCACCCCACGCACCCAAGGGCCAGAGTGAAAATCAACTTATTAAACGCATGGCTCCATGACGCCCCAAGTCACCAAGTACAAGTCCCCTGAGCCAGGAGCGGCTTCAAAATATCCACACACTGCTTCGCCCACAAGACCAGCCACCTGCTGGCGCACGGAAGGGAGCGTGAACTCCCACTCTGGCCATTTCAAGAAACCTTGGACTTGCTGGGAAAACAGGAGAAAAGCCCCTTACCTGAAAGCCCCCCAGGGGCCAGATAATTCGTTCCCCCTGTTTCAGCGGAGGAAGGCACAGCATCTGGACAATCTGCTGCGGATTCAAAGAGGAGAGAGAAACGAGTCAGTGCACAAATGAAAACACCTCGACTCAGCTCACGCTCATTCCCGCAGGCTGACTGCGGCGCGGCGCTGGCTGTCACAGCATCAGGCAGACCTTGTCGCCCGCCTGGGCTGGCCAGCCGGTTAATCATCAGTCAAGTCAGCCTCTGTGGCGCACTGGCTGCCACCTCTCTGCACCACAAGGCCCCCATTGAGGAACCCAGGTAGTTCCCAAGGTCAAGGAAGTTCCCGTTGTACTTTCTCCACCCTGCTTGCTCCGTCTTCCCCGCCAAAGGCCAAGCTTCCTTGTGGCCTCTACCACTCCCGGGGACGAGAGTCTAGCCCTCGTCGCTTGGAAGCAGCCTGATTCTGAGTTCTCCAGAGACGCAAAATCGACTCCTGTCAAGCAGACGAGAGGCGCTGTACACAGGCACACACCTGTGTGGCCAGCACCGGATGGAGACAGAGCGATCTCAGCAAGACTGCCAGCCACGCGGCCAGGTTCCACCTCCTTCCAGGCTGGTTCCACACCCCCCACCTCTGGAAGCCTCGCTGGGCAACCTCAGACCCGCAAGGCTCCCTGCCCTGTAAAATCCTTGCAGCACCCAGCACTTGGGACTGGCTTCTGCTCCCCTCACCCACACAGCCTGTCTGCTCTAACGATGAGCTTCTCTACCATCCAGGGGCTCAGCGTGCTGATCAACACTAATGAGGGTAGAGATGATTCCAGTTGAGACACAGACTCCACAACCACCTTCCAAGCAATTCAAAACAAAAATCATGCCCATGAACCACAACCACGGAGTCCCACGAAACAAACGCACTTGACCCTGCAGGCTGCCTGGTGCTCCTGGTGCCACTGCCAACCTTGCTGCCTTCCGGCCGTGAGGCAGACACACTGCCTTGGTTCATGCAGGCTCCCGTCCTCCCACACGCGGGGTGGGGTGGGGGAGGGGGAACAGCAGGACGATAGCCCTGGGACAGGCACCACTGGCTTCCACCTGCAGCCCCTCGGCCGCCCAGGGAAACAGGAAGCCAAACCAGGGAGGCCTGTAGCCCATGGGAGTCTTGGGTCCCTCCCTCCCACGCATCCTCCAACCACTGTCTCCCAAGCCAGAACTTTTCAAGAACTCCCCGCAACAGGGGAGGGGCAGGCGGGGGAGTGGTGGCGGCAGACAGGGGAGGGCAAGAAGTCTATGTGTAATCTCATTTTATCCGGGTAAAGTATAATTCCTAACAGGAATATACAGTTTTACAACACATACTCCATCAAATGGAAAACAACAGGGGAGGCAGGAAACGAGTTACTTGTTAAATGGTGCATTCCCTGTGCCTCCTAGGCAGCTTCCAGGGCCCTCACCATTTTCTAGAAAGGCCTCAGGACCCTCGCCCTCCACCCACCCCCACCTTAAACACCGGTGACGCATCCACAGCCACGCCCCCCAGCTCGGGCTGGGCTGGCAGGATGCCAGGGGCAAGGTGTGTTTCCAAAGGGAAGCCTGGCATCTCAGGGCGGAGCTGGGACCACAGTCAGGGTGTCAGCCCGTCTCACATCAAAGGTGAGCCAGCTCCGTGGCGGCAACCACAAGCGTTTTTATGAAATGGTCTCTGGCCCTCTGCAGTGCCTTTGATCTCCAGAGGGATTTACAAACGCCAATTAGCCCTCCGCCCGCCCTTGTGAAGTAGCAAGGCATACCTGTTCAGCACCAGGTAAACTGAGGCGTCACTGCTGAGCTCAAGGGGCCACCCAGAGAGCCAGGTTGTCCCCAGGAGCTCAGACCCCCCCTCCCTCCCCAGGCAGGCCAGGGGGTCCCGCCCCTCCTCCCAGGAGGCGGGGAGGCTGGGACAAGTCTTCCAGATCCAGCTCTGCCTCAGGCTACCGCCAGCCTTAGTTAGGTCAAAGGGCCACACCTCCAGCCCTCAGCCACACAGAAGCTCCACAAAGTCAGATCTCCAGGGTCAGGGTCCCTCTCACAGGCTGCGGCCTGGGGTCTCGCTCCCCAAAGCCCGAAGCCCTAGGCTAGTCCTGGCGCTCTCATCTACCACTGAACAGTGCGGTGGAAGACTCCCTTCTCCTGGCTGCTCCAAGCGGGGCTGAAAACCCAGCCTGTGGTGCAGCTAGGACATGAACTGTTGACAATGGGGACAGGAGAGGGGGTCCTGCTAAGCGTCTCTCCCCAAGGAAATGCTTCCTGGCGAAGCCAAGACAGTTTCAGCAACTTACTTCTGAACTTAGGTACAGCACAGAAGAACGCCTCCCACGCTGCCAGCCAACAACCCTAAGCATCCCACCCAGCTCTGCCCCAGGTGGTTCACCCCATCCAGAGCGCAAAGAAACCCAGCTATGGAGGAACACTGCACTGTACACACACCATCACACCTGCAGAAAGAATGAATGAACCAAGAAACGAATGAAGTGATCATCTCATCAAACTCATCATCTGGATTTAAAAATACACCTCGTGGTTAAGATGCTCATCAAGATGCCTGCATCCGTATCACAGCGCCTGGGTTCAATGCCCAGCTCTCCTCCTGACTCCAGCTTCCTGCCAGTGCAGACCCTGGGAGGCATGGGTGATGGCTCAAGAGATTGGGTCCCTGCCACCCAGTGGGAGACCCAGGTTTGAGGGAGTTCCCAGCTCCTGGCATTTGGAGAGTGAGCCAGTAGATGGGAGCTCGCTCTGTCTCTGCTTCTCAAATAAACTGTTTTTAAAAGATTTATTTATTTACTTGAAAGGTAGAGCTACAGAGAGGCAGAAGCAGAGAGAGAGAGAGAGAGAGAGAGAGAGGTCTTCCATCTGCTGGTTCACTCTCCAAATGACCAAAATGCTGTCGCTACACCAAACTGAAGCCAGAAACCAGGAGCTTCTTCCTGCTCTCTCACGCGGGTGCAGGGGCCCGCCCAAGGACTTAGGCCATCTTCTACTGATTTCCCAGGCCATAGTAGAGAGCTGGATTGGAAGAGGAGCAGCTGAGCCTGGAACCAGTGCCCGAATGGGATGGCGACACTGCAGGCAGCAGCTTTACTCGCCACGCCACAGTGCTGGACCCCTCAAATAAATTTTCAAAATGTCTTTAAAAAGGCCTGGAAAAGTGAAGAGGGGACCTGCATTAGGAGACCAAGGTCAAAATGCCAGACTAACAAAGTCCTTTGGAGGCTGGGTGGGCCACCAGGGTTCCCCAGCCCGTGCAGGGAGAGCTCAGCTGGCAGCCCCGTCCAGCGCAGGACTTTCCCACCAGCAAACACAGAGGACACAGGAAACACAGCGCCCACGGAACCCCCACCCCAGCATCCCCGCTTCACAAAGTGAGGTCTGGTTCCCAACAGCAAATTCTCACTCCTGCAGACGCAGCCACCCTGGCCCCGGGTGCAGCCGTGCCCAACACTCCAGCAGCAAGCGCGCTGGGACCACACAGCACCCAGGTGGACCAAGTCCAGGCCCTCCCAGGGGCCACAGAGGAACAGCGTGAGCCACAGCAACACGGAGCTCCCAGGTTTCCACCCCCAGCAGTGCCCCAGCCCCCTTCCCACGGCCTCTTCAGAAAAGGGAGTCCCTTGGTTGTGCAACTGGTTAAGATTTTAACAGCTGGCCACTGTAAAACCCTACGCCCGCTCCGCCTAAGTAACCCAAGACCAAAAATTCAACCCAGCGCTCAGGACCTTAAGAATCTAAGTGGCTGATAGGAATTCCCAGGCCCCACACTCTGCCATGCAAGGTGGAGACACAAACCTGGGGTGGCATCCCTCCCCACGGTGTCTGACCACAGCCGCCCGCCGCAGAAGCAGCCCGGGGCGGGCGGCCCCTCCAAGCCCTAGATCTGGCCGTCCTGTGCTCTGTCCAGACCATTTCTCTCAGGGGGGCTTTCTCTGTTGCCACCCCCCAGGCTCTCACACCACAGCGCCTTCCTTCTGTCCCTCACTTTTGTTTTGCTTGAAACAAAACGATGCGGGTGAGTAAGCGACGCTGTGAGCTTCCGACTGGCAGGTTAATCACTTCCTATTGGCCCATCAGCAACCTTCTCTCCCCCTTGGAAATGGCACATTCCTGTCTTTGTGGCTTCTCTGTTTACACACATTTTGCTACCTAATGTCAACACTTGCTAATGAATAAATATATCACTCCACTCACCGAAAATGAGGTCCCGGCCTGGCAGAAGGACTGCTAAGACAGCAAGACCCACCAGAACGTGACCTTGCTGCTCTATGGCTTGGGGAGGCTTCTGGGAACACCATCCTCCCTTCTGATGGAAACCTACAGCTAGGAATGCACAGGGAAAACCAAAAATGGGCCGCCATCGTCCCTGGAAGACCTAACCTTAACCTCCTGCAGGAATTCTTGATGCTTGAAGCCACAGTCCTCGGGGAAGCAGAGCTTGGTCACTCCAGTTAAGGTTTGTTACAAACACAGGGAGTTGGTTATCTCATTAATGACCATTTATCTGGTGTTTTGTAAATCGAAAGCAAAATATCACATGCTCCACAGGCCCCTTATTAGACAGGCACCAGGCAAGCAGCAACGCCTTCCCAGCTTGGGGGAGCTGGTGCAGTCCCAGGAGGGCTGGCTCCGCGCACGGGGCTTCAGTTACACGTTCATTAAAGTATTTAATGTATGACAACGCCCCGGCAAAACTTTTAATTAGTGGGGGGAACGGCCCAACAGCCAAAATGCATGAGGCAGAAGGACCTGGAGAATTCCAGGACCTAAACGGCGCCCAGCCCTTCACTCCTCTCGCGCCAGACCCTTGGCGAAACCAACCATGGCACCAGTGTGCGCCGGTGCACAGGCACAGACGCCAGTTACAGTCTGTACTCTCCAGCAGGTGACTCTGCCTGGAAGAAGGGGCTGCAGGCTGCCAGCCTGTCTCCGGGGTCACCCCCCAGGTCAGTTCTGCTAACCCTGTCGCCTGGCACCGCAGCACCAAAGGTTGGGACCCCTGTGTCGCCAGCCAGAAATCAAACGCGGACAACCACAGCAGGGCTGATGCCAATCTCAAATGGGTTTCTGCCCTGGCCGGGGGCCCTCCCGAGACAAACCAACAGGCAGGCAGAGGTACCCTAAACACTTTCATGACCAGACCAAGGATTCCCAGGAAAAAAAAGGACAGGGCTGACTTGTATGTGACTGGGGCAGGGGGCACCTACTCCCCTCTGGCTTCTGGAACTTCTTAAATGCACCACCATCCTTATCCTAGACAGGCCAAACTCGGCACCTCCATTCCCTCAAACCAGCCCTGATTCCTTGGGCACTCGCCACAGTCTCTGAAGGTTCCCATCACCCTGCTCTGCTTAGTCCCCAAGCCACTTCTTTGTGGCTTAAAGCATCCGGGTATTAAAATCCAACCAGCTTCAGAGGCAGAGGGCAAATATACGTGAAAATGGAACCCAAGGTAAAGCTTATCTAGGAGAGGTCTTTGCAAAAAAGAAAGAAAAAAAAAAGGCAAAAAACCAGTCACACTAACACAAAGTCACCAAACTTCCAGCACAGGAAAACCAGGTGCCACTTGGGGCGAGGCCAGCACCTCCCCAAGGCTGCTGTCTGGACACAAAACACCCCGCTTCTAGCAGAATAGGAAAAGCATTTTTTCCAAGCCATCTACTCACCAGTTGGTTTGAGAAAATCCATCGGGTATCTGGAGTAAGGAGGAGGGGGAGACTCTGGAATTAAAAAGAGGAAATAAAGGCCGGGCCATGAGAAAGAGAGATAGAAACTTATGATAACAGAGGCATTCTTTCGGCCCCACTGTTTGTCTTAGCTGTGGGGGTTGGAGGCAGGGCTGCGGGGCGGTGATTGCCTTGATATTTAGCTGTCAGATAAACAAAAGAGGCCGCCTGGCGCCAGCCTCGGCGCTCCGCTCCTCCACGTCTGCGGCGGCCGCCGCCGCCGCGCTCGCCCAGCCGGGCTGGAAACCACCAGCTCGGCCGCGGCTCGGCCGGGGCCGCGCGCCTCGCGGCTCCCCGGGTGGAGGGGGGACAGCCCGGCCCCGAACCCTAGACCCCCATCCCACCTCCCGCCCCAGCCCCTGCGAGGGAGGCACGGGACTCCCCATTCCCAGCCCAGGGGGAAGACGCGCCCCAAGCGTGCTGGTGAGCTTGGGGGGCACCTCGTCCCAGGCACCTTAACCTTTGAAAGAAAAGGTGGGGTGGGGGGAGAACGCAGGCAAGTGGGAAGACCAAAGGGAAGGGGCTCGGGAGCTCTGTCGGGGGAGCCCAGGCCCCAGCTCCAGGACGGGCAGCAACGTCACCAATGCGCTGGGATAGAGCATTCCAGACCCAGTTCTGCGCCCGTTTGGTGCCAGAGAAAGGAGAAGGCGGGGGACACTCGACTTCAGGCCTCTAGAACGGCGCAGCCCAGGGCGCCATCCCAGCCGGGCCTCCCCTGCTAACCCGAGCCAGGGCAACATCTGGGCCGCCCGTGCCCAGTGTCTCCGCGGCCGCCAAAAGCAGCTCGGCCCTCGCTCTCGCTTCTCCCAGCCTTCCTTGGCGGGCTTGGCCCGGATCCAACTCGGCCACACACCTCAGCGCCTTTCCGGGTGCGGGGGAGGCGTGAGCCCCACTTGTCTCCGCACCCGGGTGCCGATGCGGAAGTGAGGACGTCTTTTTAACCGCCCATCAGTACAGTGTGTGGTGGAGCTGCGGCCACAGGGCCCCTGGGGGCGCCGGACAGACCTGGGAGGGAACCCCCAGGGAAAGCCCTCGGAGCCCGCCCCGGCCCCCCGTGTCTCTCTCCGCCCGGGAGGTGAGTCGCGGCGCCGCGCGCCGGTCGCGGGGCGGGAGCAACTCCTCACCTAGTTCGCAGAGTCGGCTAAGGTGATGGGGGTTGCAGCACACCAGTTCGGGGTTGATCTTCCCGTAAGATTCACAGCAACACAGCCTCTTGACTTCCGAGGAATGCCTGAGATCCGGCCACCTGAACACTTTGCACAGCAGAAGGGGCAGCGAGTAGGACGAGGGCGGCTGCGCGGGCTGCGCGCTGGCGGGCGCCCCCGGGCCCGGCCTGCAGTCCAGGCGGCCGGGCAGCAGGAGGCACGCGGTGCGCGTCCCGCCCCGGGACTCCACGGCCTGGAGCAGCAGCTCCAGCTGCCGCTCCTTCAGTTTCTTGAGCACCGAGTGCGTGAGCGCCTTCAGATCCGCCTCGGCGCCCCCGGCCGCGCCGACGCCCGCGGCCGGCGGGTGGGGGTGGTGGTGACCTTTGGCACCTCGGACCGCCTTGCCCAGGCAGCAGCCAGCCCTGCCCGCGCCGCCGCCACCGGCCCCATGCGCCCGGCCGTCCGTCGCCCCTTCTCCCCGCAGCTCGCCTCCGCCCGCACCCTCCTCCCCGTCCTCGCCGCCGGGCGCACGGCTCCTCCAGAGACGCCGGACGAGCGCAGATCGTTTGGTCCTGAACATGCGGGGCGAGGAGGCGAGGAGAAAAGTCGTTTGCCGGCTAAGGAGCGAACATGACCTCCGCACACCATGAAGAACTCGGGCGCCGAGTTGAGGCAGCAGGCGCAGGCGACAGCAGCAGCAGCAGCAGGGGCCCAGGCAGGAGCGGCGGCGGCCCGAGGGGCGCTCCGTGGCATGCGCCAGTCTCCCGGAGGCCGGGGCGCGCGCGGGGGCCCGGGGGCGCCCGCCGGGGCTCGGGGGCCTGCGCTCCGGCTGCCCCACCCCGCGCGGCCCGCGCCCTGCGCGGCTCTCGGGCCCCGGCGCGCCCCGGAGGAACGCGGCCGCCGCTTCCCTGGGGGCGGCCGAGCCTGCCCCCGTCGGCGCCTCCCCAGCGAGCGGCCCCCCCGCGGCGGCTCCCGAGTGTCGGGCTCGCCAGCCTCGGCTTCCTACATGGAAGATCCGCGGGGGCAGAAACCGAAAGGCGCCCGGCGAGGCTGCCCGAGCGAGCAAAGAGCCTCGTTCCCCCTTGCTAAGCAACTTAATTTGGGGGTGGGGAGAAGCAGGCAATTATAAAAAAAAAAAAAAAGCAGGCACGCGATTTATTTTTTTCCTCTATATCCTTAGTAACCGGATCTCCTCGAATTCCGTGCGCACGAAGGCTCGGGGGAGGGGGCCGAGCGGACTTCACCCCGCATGAGCCGTCTGGCGAAACGTGGAGGTTCTCGCCGAACCTCAGAAGCAAATATGCAAAAGCCCCAGATGAAAACCACCAGCTCGTCCGCCCGCAGCCGGGGCTTGGGAGGAGAAAATGTTTACAAAGTGGAACAAGACGCTTGCGGGGTGCAGAGGCGCATCCACGAGCTACATGCCCGCTCCGTTCCTCGCAGAGCCTCGTTGGTCTTCCTCTCCGTTTCTTCTGCCTCCCCCCGAAAGATCGTGTAATTTTTTTTTTTTAATCCACAGAAAGGTCGGGCTAGGCTGCTTCAATCCTGCGCATCCGGGTGTCCCAGGGGAGTCTCTGGTCTTTCCTCCTGCGGTCCCGGGGGCCCAGGTTCTCGGCGGGGACTTCCTCGGGGCTGGCGGGGGCGCAGGGGCAGAAGATGCTGCCGCTGCGGCTGCGGCGGCGGCGGCGACTGCGCCCAGCGGGGCTGACAGCGCGGGGGAACGCGGCACGGCGGCCACCGCGGGCCCCCGGTGGGTCGCACGCTCCTGCCCCCCCGGGCACAAGCTGCCGGCTAGCGCGGGGGCCGCTGGCGCCCCCTCCCCTGGCCGTGGCTGGCCGCCGGGGCTCCCCGCATGGGCTGCTCGCCCCGAGCCGGCTTCGGCGGCGGGAGGCCCCGGTGTCCTCTCGCCGCCTCCTCTGAGACTCCTCTCGTCGCAGCCGGCTGCCTCCTTGTCCCCCGTCCGCCCTCTCCTGGCGCTCGGGTCCTGCTGCCGCCTCCGGGGGCTCTCCGCGGCGCGCTCAGGGGCTCCGGGGCCGGGCGCTCGGCGGCTCGGCGCCGGCGGGCTGGCTCCGTCTCAGGCAGCTCTCTCCGGCGCGGCTCCCGGACCGAGCACGGCGCCCGGCTGGCTCGGCTGGCGCGGCTCGGGGACAGGATCCTCCGTGCGCCGAGCTGCAAGCGAGTGTGCCCGGGGCTCGCCGCCTCCCGCAAGGCCTCCGGCCCCCGCCCCCTTCCCTCCCCCTTCTCCCCCCTTCCCTCCCCCGCCCCGGCCGCCGCCGCCTCCTCCTCCCCGCCCCCCCGCCCGGCCCTCGGCTCGGCTGGTTCCACTGCGCAGTGGCGCGCCCGGCTCCGGCCTCGTCACGTGGCCGTCTAGACACCCTGTCGCTTTAAAAAAAAAAAAAGCGATTGTGTTTCGCAAACAACAGATCGGGTTTCTAAAAGCTATTTCTCCCCCCCGCCCGCCACCGCCACCCCCTCCTGGGTCTGCAGCAGGGGGACCAATGTGGGGGGGCTGGGGGGGGTGGAGAGGCAGGGGCCAGCGGGGCGCCCAGATCCGACCGAGACCCGGCTGGCGCGGGGGAGGCTGTGTGGACGAGCCGAGACGCCGGGCGGGACGAGCCGGTCGCTGGCCCGACCTGGACCGAGCCGAGCTGCGCCGGGGCCGTCCCGCGCGCGCTCGCCCGCGCGCTCCATTCATTCGTTTTGTTTGAAAGGCGCTGGCGGCCGAGCCCTGGCCGCGCCGGAGGGAGAGGGGTGTAGAGCGCCGCCTGTTCGAAAGACATTCACACCGGGCTGGAGCGGGGCCTGGGAAGTGCGCGCTGCAGGGAACAGCCGGGCCGCCGGGGGCGGGAGGCGGCGCGAGCGTGACCTCAGCGGCGGCCCGCTCCCGCTCCGGGCTCCGGTTTCCAGGACCGCCTGGAGAAGCGTGTCTTGTGCACGGCTGTGGAATGCGTTTGGCTGGCTGACGGGCCGCGAGGGGCGGCATCCCGGCGGGGGGCGGGGGCGGGGGCTCGCCCGCGGGCCGCCCGCAGGTTTCCTCCCGGCCCGGAAGGCCTCGGACTGCCGCCCGCGCCCCCGGCCCGGGGAGGTCCCCTGCGAGCAGACCCGCCTGGAGCGTTCGCTTGCGCGCGGAGTCTGTCCCTGCGCGCCTCTCGGCCGCGCAGCTCTCAAGCGCTCCGGGTCCGAGCTCCCCTGCACCCCGGGCTCCCCAGAGACAGACCCCCTGCTGGCTGGTGGCCGCAGGGCCCCGGCGGGGTGATGGGGCAGAGGACGTGCGCAGGCTTCGAGGAGGCCGCTAGTTGGCACGGCGATCTAGCCTCGCCTCTTATTCACTGAAATAGAATTTTTTTTTAATCATTGCCGTGACATCAGCACAGCCCTGAAACTCCTTGGGGATTTTTAAGTATCTTTAGAGAAGGTGATTGACGTGTACTATTTTCATCTCCCCAGCTACATTGTATTTTCTTAAAAGGAAAAGCCCGAGATGAGTTTAGACACCTTTGTAGCTCAACCCCGCTCCCCTCCAGCCTTCCAAAAAGTTTCTAATGCGCAAAAACGGCTCATCATTTAGCAATCAACACTTGTGGGACAGAGGGGTTAAGCCTGGGCCAGTCCCTCAGCATCCCATAGGAGCACCCCTTAGAGTCCTGGCTGTTTCACTTCCCATTCAGCTCCCTGCTAATGCACCTGGGAAAGCACCTTAGATGGCCCAAGTGCTTGGATCCCTGCACCCACGAGGAAGACCTGGATGGAGATCCTGGCTCCCAGCTTCTTCATGGCCCAGCACCCCGCCCCCACACCCCTGTTGCCATTTGGGGAGTGAACCACTAGATGGAAGATGTGTGTGTGTGTGTCTCCCTCTCTCACTGTAACTGTCTTTCAAGTAAATAAATAAATCTTTAAAAAGCACACACTTAGGGCTTAAGGGGGCGTTTGGACTGGCCTCCGCAGAGCAGCTTTGGTGGTACAAATGTGGCAGGGATCAGCCCATCGGGGACCCAGCAGTTCACTGCCCTAGAATACAGCGGGAAGCCAACAGTTGCAGACACATGTGTGGGGACCAGGACAGAGGCTGGCATTGGGAGTCTCTGCTCTGTATGGCCGCCTTGGCTACAACTGTGTCATCATAATTTTATTACACAATGTCCTTTACTCAAAAGGGCACTGAAACTGGTGTGTGTGGGTAACACATTCTAGAAGACAAAACAGCCTAGGAGGGCTTGCCGATGGGCTTGTCCCACCCCCATGGGCAGAGAAGGACCAAGATGGAGCTGGAATTTTTGAGACGACTGGGAAACACCACCTGAGGAAAGCTTAGGAGTCAGGACACAGAATGCGAGGCTGAGCCCGTGCAGAGAGTGGCACGTGGCAAGGTGTCCCAGGCTTTCTGGGCGAGCTCCCTACCCTCTCGGGGTCCCTCTGCATCTCTCTGTCTCCCAGGAAGAGCGCTACCATTCTGGAGGATCTGCAGGGCCGTGGGGAAATCCGGCCAGTGGACTGACACTGTGCTTCGAGACCAGCATGCACACAGGCAGGGTCCATGGTATTTCAGGAGCTGGATCTGACGTCACAGCTTGTCTGGGAGAACATGCATGCACTCGCAAGGCTGTGTTCCCACCCCATGTAATTGTGGGCGTTTTAATTCAGGCGTCACCCCTGTTTTGTCCTCCCCACACGGCTTTCCTTCTCATTTGGCTACCCCAGGTAGGAGTGGGTGGGATGGGATGCAGGGCAAGTAGCTACAATGGTTGTAGCTTTATGGTCCCTGGCGTCCCCTGAATCAGTGAACATCCCAACCTTCCCAGCAGGTAGCCCCACCCCCCATCCTTTCCAAGAAAGAAGCCAGAAGTTGGGTGGGCAGTGAACCTAGAAGGAGGGTTCCTTTCTTTCCCATTTGCTGGCACAAAGGAGACCCCCCCCCCCCCCCCCAGCGCGCGTGTGCGCGCGCGCGCGCGCACACACACACGGTTTCAAGACTATTCTGATACTGATATTTATTAAAAAAAAAAAAAAAAGTCTAAGAGTTCACCAAACTCTTTTGAATGAGTTTGATCCCAATCACTTGCTGGCAGGGAATATGGAATAAAATACCTCATTTGCAGTTGTTTATTTCCTGTTGTGGCTTCTATTTTCATCTTTTAGTCTCTTTGGTGATAGTAATCAAACCCCAATCACGGTGCCGCCACAAGTCACAGAGACCAAAATAACTTGCAGCAGAGTCATGACCAACAGGGAGTCAGCTCAAGACCTGGCTACTTAATCCCTGGCCCCTGACACCCAAAGGACAATGGGGACTGTCTCCAACCCGAGGCGCCTGGAGGGGAGCAGGAGCCCACTGAGGCTGCCCCAAGGAGAGCAGCAGAGGGCACCCAGGTGGCCCAGAAGCAGGTGACTCCTCCACACCTGCCAGGGGTGCACAGGCCTGCCCTGGGGGAGAAGAGGGCCAGAAACGAACGTCTATCTTCACGACCTTGACGCCTGGAAGCAGCCGGCACGGGAAAGCTCCGTTGGAGGGAACGTGGGATTCTTCCTATCACAGCTTTTGTCATTTTCTTCTTCTGGGAAGAGAAGGGCAGAGAGAGTCCCCAAAGCACGGGTGGGTGGGTGTCAGCGGGGTGGGGAGCAGGGGTGAGGCAAGGATGAAGAATTTTTCTTGCAGAAGCCAAAAGGAGAAACCATTGAAGAGGCCAAAAAGTACTTCTTGCACAACTGTTGCCTGAAAAACGTGTGAGTGAGCCCTAAACCATCCATCTCTGGCGGCGATACAAATGGAAGCAAGAGCTTATGGAAGGAAGGCACAGGAGCAGGGCTGATGTGACAATCAGCACTGCTTGGCTTATCTTGGATGAAAATACATCTAATTCACAACCAAGGATGCTCCCAGCCCTGACTCACCTAATGTTCTCCTCTTACAGACCTGCTGTCAGCTGATCCCGTAACATTTGCCAGGTGCCTCTCCAGAGAACTGGGTTTGGGGCAAGGGCAGCATAAAATGAATGCTGTCGTGAAGGAGACCAGAGAAACATCTAGAAGAAGTAGAGTGGTGTCAAAGAAACTCAAACATGCAGTCACATAGACAGGCCATTTTACCAAGGAG